TTGGTTTGGAAGATGCTTTCGTTATCCCTTTTTAGAGACTTCCTGCATTCTCCTCATGTCTTCCCCCAGTCCTCTCCATATGATTAGTGGACAGACGTCTCTGCTTCGCCTGCTGTGTTTGTTTCATCCAGATAATCATAAAGCACTCAGAAGTCCCCCAGCATTGCGGTTTAGTAAATAGCCGTCAGCAATGGGAGCCATCTGACTCCAGCAGCATGAAGCAACCGGTCCTGCTCCTGCCAAACTGCCTCAGCTGATGTTCTCTGGAGGCCTGGAGAAGCAGGCTCGAGCAGAGCTAGTAGGGAAGGCATGTCTGCTTCAGATATAGCTCATGCATCTGTCCCCAGACCAAGTGCCAGGATGTTGAGAGCCGCAGTTGTGCACTGAGAACAGCAGCAGTGCTGTACAGAGCTGCACAGCATGTTGTCTGGGAGAGAACCAGAGGGATGCTCTCCTTCTGCTGCAGGGAGAAGACTACAGCTGCATGCAGCATGCGCCCGTTGCTAAGGTAGCACGCAGCACACCCACGCCGGCCTCGAAGCAAAACAGAGCTCATAGGAAATTTTGTGGAGCCAGAAGCCTTGCGTGAGAGTATGGCTTTGTATAAAGTGCTGTCTCCTACACTACTGAACCGGGTTTCACAAATGTCCCAACAATAGCTCCCTGTGCATGTAATTTCTCTGATTCTCTGGAGGAAGCTGTGCCATCTCGCTAGATATGCATCTGCAATGCTCTCTCTTATGTTCTGTCTTCTACAGTGCCTCTCCTTGATGAGAATTTCAATGGATTATGCAGCACAAGGCAGTTCTGATGCTTTGGTTTCCTACTGATAGAAGTGTTAGGCAGTTCTGCTGCCCTTTCCAAGCTAGATATACAGACTTTGCTATGACAGAACACCTGCCTGCTTTTAACCACTTCTAACATCTGTATGACCATCTCCCTCTCTGTTTACCCTGCAGTGCTGTGTGTCCCATTCTCACACAGTGCTCTAAAAGCCTGCACAGGAACACTTCTCAAACCTGTAAAAGGCAGCCTTGTCTCTGACTTGCACAGTGGGCCTCAATGCTCACACAGAAGTAGTTTACGTCTTTTGAAAACTGCATGAGTGCCTCTCTTCCAAGGCATGGTTTTCCTCTTTAACTCAGGCAGATATTTTAGTATAACTACGAGGCACCGATCTGCCATTTTATACTGGTTTACAGCTCTTTGGAGTGCTATTGATTATTCGTTATCTGCGTTCAGCAAGTGAAGCTGCTACAGGCATGCAGCTCATGCACAAGCCAATGTACAGGAAACAGTGACTGCTGTAGCTGGCAGGAAAATTTTCAAAAGTGACATAGATGCCTGCATGCCTAAAGCAAAGAGTATCTGTAGATAGATTTGTCAAACTGGCTGTGAGTGCTGTCTCCTTCAGCAAGAAATGCAGTGAGCTGACCTCCATTGCTGCTAAGAGATTGCTCTGTATCACCACGTTCAGGGAACCCATCCCTGTCCAGAAGTCCCAATACAATAGTAACACTGTAGGTAACACTGTTCTTCTCTTTGTAACACAAAGGAGCACATTGCTACTTCCTGTTTTGATCTGAAAACTGAAGTATACTGAGGTTCAATGAACTGACTGAGGTCATACAATCAGCCAGTGGCAAAGCTGAGAATAGGCTCCGTGTCCTTTTCTCCAGGCCTAAGATCTAACTCTCAGATCCATCCTGGGGGCAAAGACGGGCTACCAGAGCTATACATCACAGCTCTACAGAAAATGACATTTTTAGAACAGGCTCAACCCTGAACTTAGTACAGATACTAAAAAAATTAAAAAGCATCAATGTTTTCTTCTTATGAGAGATTCTGCTTGGTAAAAGTGGAATTTATAAATATTGATGGACTTCTAAGCGTGAGCACATTAAAAAAAATAATCCAAAAGACTGAAGCCTGAATTAACTTTGAGAAATTGTTACTGGAGACCTAAGTAAAAAATAAAGCAATGCTGTGAAAATGTATAAACTTTTTGCAGTCATTTTTCATCAATTTCAAAACTGTTTTTAGGGAAATAGTGCTTCTTTCACACTTCCCCCTTCCCTTGCTCTTACCCATAGTTCTTACAGCATGTACAAACTATGTGCGGTTCATTTGGTAGAGCAGCTGCTTCACCTGTGGTGAGCTGATGGCAACTGAGCAACTGTCTGCAATGTTATCTGCAGCTGCCCTGCACTTAAATGAGACTCTTGGGGGTGAGGTCCGGATTATCAGTGAGCTTATGGAAACCATATGTTGTGATATTTAGGTGGTGAACATGGATCCTCTTTCAGCATAGGCATTGTGATCCATCCAAGAAAGTTCTGTAATGCTGGATTTCAGGAAATGGTTCAATTGAGCCCAAACCACAGTTTTCTACTATGTCTTCAAGGACAGTTCTAGATACCCTTCCTTTCAGTCAAGATTTGCTCAGAGAGGTCAGTTAGAAAATTATATCTGTTTAGATCTGACTTCCGTTGCAGTGTAAACCTGATTTCAGAGAGAATTAGGCTCTATGTATCTTCAATTGTGATGGTTCAGCCACCTAAATGCTTGTACAGACCCAGCTTCAGCAACTGTCATTAGTATATTGGCAGGATTCCGAGCATGGAAAATACACTGTCTTCTACATGACAAGATCAGTCTTCCCTGGAGGCACCTGCCAACCCAGCCTGTCTGCCATGCAAGTTTTGCAACCTGCAAGTACAGGCCTGGGGCAAAAATAGCACCAGTGCCTGCTTCAAAACACCCGCATCCTTCCCCTCCACCACAGCCAGCAGGAAGAAGGCCTATGCCTGCTCTCGCTCTTCCTCTGCACCCCAGCAATTGTAGCCACAGCCATGTCCCCTGAAAGCTGCACCCAGCAGGTGAGAGGCAGCACACCTTGCAGGCTGTAGGGAGAGGCACTCACGATGCCTGGCTCTGCAATGCCTGCAGGCTCCTGTCTGTAGTGCAGGCCCCCATCATAGGACATGCTGCCAGCTGAGTCCTGTGCTCCATCCTCTCCCTCCTCCCTATCCCTACCCGATCTGCTGCCGTCTTTCGCAAAATCCATAGAAATGTAATTATCGTGGAGTTGTCTGCCTGTAGTGATGTTTTTCTTTGGAAATAATTATAATTGGCCGTGACAGCTAAAAACTTATCGGAGTAGACAGATGACAGACAGCACAATCACATAAGCTTCCCTCTGAGAAAATAAAGCTAAAACCCATTTATCCTCCTAGCTGGGAACAAAGGACTTTACTTTGAAGAGCCAGGCTGTGAAAATATGGAGAAAAGACTTTTACGCTCACAGATTAAATTTGCAGTAGGTAACCAACCACAAGGAATCCATTTGCAGCAGAACCGTACTGCAGTACTTACAATAATATCACTTCTTTCATCTGAAGAACACCCAATGAGGGACATATCACTCTGTTCAGAGGAAGCTACAGAGGTCTCAAGAGGTTAATTAAGTGGCTGGAAGCCATGTGGGCCTGAAGAGTGACTGGATCACAGATAATTTTAAAATGTAAGCATATCTTAATCATGTCTGTTAGGGCTACTTGCACTGGGATCCAAAGCTAGATGAAGTAACTTATTCCTGTAGTAAACCACTAATTGCACTCTCCCAGAGAGCAGAAAAATATTGATTCCAAGGTGTATCTCCAAGTCAAGGAGGCTCTTGGAGCCATCTTTTGCATGACAGCTGACATGCAACCCTGGAAGGAGCTTGTGCTTCTTCCATAGGACTTCAACATCTGGCCTCTCCTTTGGCTGAATGGGTTTTTAACGGCATGTGGATTGGGGGTGAGTGGGAGAGCTTCACTCCGTACTAATTTAAAACGTTTAAACAATTCATGACACTCCTGAGATGCTTTTAAGAAAATGGAAATTGAGTGAGGAGAATGGCTGTCCAATGGTACTTACTTATTACTCAGAACATACAAGCAGATGATAACCTCAAATTGACAGAGATATGCCTGGATCTAATGGTATTGCATAGACACAAAGAGAAATACTGCCAGAAGGCAATCAGTTGTAGTATGTAGTATGGAGGAGAGCTGAGAAAGAGACAGAGCCAGGGAAAGGACAGAAGAGGTAAGGACAGAGAAATACCAAGAACGGAAGAGCATGAAATGTTTTCTGTAGTTCTAATTCCCAGGATTACAAATAATACTCCAGCACATTCACTGGCTGACATGCACTGTACCACAGTCATGTGGCAAAACTATTTCCATCACATGCACTGCTCTGACAAATTCTTTAGTCTCTGGATAAAGTTCTGCTTTGTTTCTATTTTTCTTTTAATTATTTTTGATAGTCTTCTTGGCTCCCAAAAGCTTTTCCTGGTTAGATTTCCCCTTCTAGCTATAAAAAGGAACTAGACTGATGTCTTTTGGCAGCTGTGAAATGGCTGCATATTGTATATGTTTTCTTGATGAGCTTCCATGAAATGGGTTTTGGTTTCTTTTGACGGATATACCACTTTTAGCACAATGTTCACACACGATTAGTAAGTGTTCATTTGGGGGGAAGAATTTTTACGTGTCATGCATGCCATTCCTGTACAGCGTTATGAATAGCAAGTAAAGTTACTTGAACAGGGGAATGGAACTGATTGAGGAACGTTTCTGCTATGAGTGCTTAGTGTGATTACTGATGGTCTGGTTTCTGCTAATCTTAAGGCTTCAGTAGATGGCAAACATTCATGAGATTCAGGTTTTAATTCTTACCATTTCCTGGAGCCAAATTACAGTGCTGCATGAAACTGGCCAGACTGCATGTGCTCAAAGAGCAACTCAGCCTGGTATCCTCTAATGACAGTGCCCAGATGCGGATGTGTGGGGAAGAGATTAAATGTACAGGGTAGCTCCTATTTCCTTGCTTACTCAACCTCCAGTCCCTTTCAGCTCGGATTCCTTAAGCTCATGATTTCTGTGTATTTTAGAGCCCACAATGGAGAGAAAGTCAGAGGAGGTGCAGCTTTCAGTGAAGACAAGGTATTACACTGCGCAGCATCATGGGTGAATGTGATTGCTCTGTCTTCTTATGTGGTTTTACATGCATCAGCCTCAGTCTAGCCTGTGCTTTGGGGTAATGCTATTATATAATCAATGAATGACAAAAATGATCTGAGATAAAAGGGAAAAGGCCAAAACGAGTAAAAACAGGGTAATGATATAATATCAGAGCATGATTATAAATACTGATATAAAGAGAGCTGGCATTCTGCCAATTTCTTGTCCAGTGTTTTATTCAGCCAAGGCCTTTTTAAAAATCATATCCAAGTATGAGATATCGTATCCATGTATGGGAGCAGAGGAAATCTATTCTCTCTTGAAATTAAAAGCTTTTGTGAGGCTTCTGTGACTGAACATCTCAAAATCAAATTCAAATGTAAGTATCACCAAACATGAGAACAATTAGCAAGCTATTCTCTTTTCAGTTGTTACGTATTGTTGACTTGCCTGCTTGGTGTAACTCTTTAGTACTGGTAGGAGTCACGAGTGGCTAATGGGCAGTCATAGACATCGGCCTTATAGGATCCAACTGGGCCACCAGCTGAAGCTGCTTAAACTGCAGACTGCCAGAATAAGCATCCTACCTTTTGCTTTCTCTTTCTTCCCAAGGGATGGATGGGCCAACCACATGTGTATGTGTTGATCATCTTAAGCCAGCAGCAAAGCTGAAGTCCCAGGATTGCCACCTGCAGTCTGCAGGATCTGTCTGAGAGTCAGAAGCTCTGCAGGCACGCTGACCCAGGCCTGGGGCCTGATGCCAGGGATGCAGGCAGGACTCCAGCTGAACACTGGCTTAAAGCTTCAAATAAAGCACTTTAGTCTCATCATGTGGGCGTTTCTCAAATTGCATCTGGTTACACAGGAGTATTTCCAAGCAGATCCTTGTCACTGATCTTTTGTTTGGAATGAGGATAATAAGAAAGTGAATACAAAGCTCTTTCCTGGATTATATGTGGCCACTTTAAATATAGGTTATGCCTCTCCTCAAGGAGCAGGCCTCCAATGGATGCTTTTCTAGCTAAATCTGATTTAAAGATGACTGCTTTTAAACTTGTCCTACCTGAAGTGGTAATTGTGAGTTTTTCCCTTTGAAATGAAAACTGAATTTGCAACCTGAAAAAAGAAAGTATCCAACAGAAACTCCACTACAATTCTTACTGCCACAACAATAAACCTGTGAGACAGCTTTTGTTTTATTTTCGATCACTATTGCCTGTAAAAATGCTGGACATGTAACACTGAAGAACGAAATCCTCTTTACCTACTAATTAATAGCAGATAAAGACAGCTCATGTCCAAAGAGGAATTTAGGAAAAAAAGGCAAAAGGGAAAAAAATAGTTCTCTGGAAAGGGTTACAGAATGATTATTCCCCTTTTCCCCTCAATTAGTAGGCAAACAATGTCAATTTGATCCCTTTGTAGCTGTTACAATTAGGTCTTTCTTGCGCTTTTCCAAGTTTACACTGCTCTTAACTGTCTGTGGCTGCAGCAGATACTGTAATATCTCTCTGCATAACAGCTAGAACAGCTATAGTTATTCAGTCCAAAACTGAAAGTGCAACCAACAAATGACGTTTATCTCAAAAACAGCATTATTTCAACAAATTTAGCAAACTTTACCATCCTCCCCCTTCCACTTTTTCTAATTCCCCTTGACTTGTGTTCACTCCCTCCACTTTTTTCTCTTCTCATTATTTCCTTTGATTTCTTCTTGTGGCTTCTAGATACCAAAGGTAGTTCTGGTAAACTAGGCTTTGTCTAGTGTGTGTGGAGGGATGGGGGAGGGAAGGGAAGAGAGAAGGGAGGGCGGGGGATGTACAATGATTTATGTTAAAGCTGTAGCAAACTAATTTCATAGCAATCCACTCTCCCCACCCTCGTTGCCTCTTTATCCTTCTTCCTTTATGCAAGTTGCTCCTTTTTTTCCCCAGTGAATTGTGTTTCTCTCTTGCTTTTTACTCCCATAGCAAATATACTTGCTCCAATGTGTTTGCTTCCTTGCTAACTTCTTCTGCAATGTTTGCTGCCTTCCATATGTTTACATCACAGAAACAGACTTGTTCACATCTGATGACTTTTCCCATGCTGCACCTTCCCTGTTTCTTTTGTGAGGCTGTTTTCTCTCTGTCTGTGTGTCCAAGTGTTCCCGCTGCTGACCACCTCCTGTTCTCCAATTCCATCCTCCATGAGAGTGAACATGACCAGTATGTCCTTAGCACTGTCTTTCTTCACATATTTGGCACGGTTTCACGTGCCCATGTGGTCTCTCCTGTTTTATGCTTCCTCTGAAGCAGTGACTCTGGATGTGCAGTATGTTTTTTAGGGCTTGCCACTGAGAGCAACGACCTTTTCTTGAAGAAGCTTTTCATAGGCACTCATGGTTACTTCACGACGCAGTGATGTGCACATTTAAGTAACATGATTTCAGGAACTGGGAAAGAGGAAGGTGCAGTTCAGTAATATGGATGGTACAATGACCCTGCCTGATCACATGTTGGGAATGGAGATCAGAGTGAAGCTTCAACACTTGGATCCTGGGTGTCCTGGTAAGTATACTTCCAAATAGTCACTCAAAATAGCATTTGTGACTTGAAAAACATGACACATTTTAACACTCTTGGTTGTTTTAACCATATTCCTAGGGCCTGGAACACCATCACTGCCCAGCTTATTAAGGGGAGGTCAGCCCTAGAATTAGCCCTAAATTGAGTCCTCTGCTACACTACTTCTGAGAAGATGGTCCTGAATGAAAGGGGACCCTGAGCACTGTCAGCTGTATTCCAGCAAAGGGTGAAAAGCACCAAGAAGTGACTTCCAGTACTATCCTGAGCAGCCACTGAAAACAGAAGCCTTCTTGTCTGGCTTTTGTTCTCAAATAGCCAATAAGAACTGATAAGCACTGGCACCATTGTCTGTAATAAATGTGTTTTCAACCAGTAGAAGACTGGTGTGTTGTAAACAATTATTGCACAGAGTAAAGCATAATCGATCACAGAAGTACAAGATAGGATGCTTTACCAATGTGTGGCTTAAAGATCAAAATCTATATAATGGAGCGAGCACGCTTAAGACAGTGAAAAGGAGGTATCATGGAATGAAATATAAAATTGAGTATAGTAAAATAACTGCATAGACCTTTATTACGACCTTATGTTGTGCTTTTACTGTTATAGCAAAGTTCTACCTTCTGCTTGTCAGAAGGTCCCTCATAAGTCATTCTGTTGCACTGGTATTCAGAATTTCAAATGACTAAAACACATATGCCATGTTGAAAGACATGAAAGACTCATTCTGTTGGTGTGCCCCAAGTGACCTTTCTGTATGCTACAGGTTCTCTTCATTGCTACGTTCTTCAAGTTTCGCACTGGGGTCACTGCTAAAATCACAGATAGCAAGTTTAGATGTTCAGAGAGACCCCTTCAGCTGTAGGGCCATAGGATAAAAGCCTGGGGTTATCAAATCATTCTAAAGGCGTCACTATAGAGCCTTATCTCCTCCCATTTCTTCTAGCATGTCTGGACAGAACATTGTTTTTCACAAACAAAATGTTCCCTCCTCCTAGCCAAAACTTATGCTTGTTACAGTTCTAGTTAAGCTGCTCTGAAGCACTACATATTCTTACAGCACTTCAAGATGCAGGTAAGAATTAAGCTTCTCTGCAGGTGGTTCAAGCCACAACACAGCTTAGTGTGTTGTCCTCCAGACAAAGAAACAAACAGATCCATCCAGAGTTTTGATTTCTTTTAATACAAAGGTCACAGAGTACAAAGAGAGAGGCAGTAAAGACCCGAAAATAAAGCAGGTGACATAGGAGAAGTAATCCTGACTCAGAAGATTTAGTAGCCTGGCCCCAAGAACAAGTCAAGAGATAAGTCTACTAGATGATTTGAATTTCAGTAGCCTGTGGTTTTTTTTGTTCTCTCCTTTTTGTTTTATTCATTCTGGGCACAGAAGTTACTACCTGGCTTTCACCACCTGCTTGTTAGAGCAATTCATGAGGCACTGAAAACTGATGAGCTGCTTTTAGTTAAAGGGCATCAAGCACTGTGGTGCTCACCTTCCTTCTGTGTGTAGCTGTCTTTGTGGAGAAGCAAAGGTAGATATGACAGGAAAGATGGGTCCCGCTTCCAATCTCAACACCCACACTGAAATGATGTCAGCAGGTCTCCCAGCAGTAGCTGCTTATACATGACACCCTTAAAGAGATATATCAGTTAGTTTCCCTCCAGGTTATCAGAAGCTCAGACAGATTAACGGCCTCAGTTACATTTAGGTCATGTCAGACTTCCTTTTGCAACCACATAAGGCGTGGCTGTCAAAACTTGGGACAAACCGCTAAGGTTGCGAAAGTTTCAGTTACATTGGAAACATTTCTCAGCAAAGATTTCTCAGCAAAACTATGCAAAAGAGTGTTTAAAGTCACTCCCTTCCATAGCACTATTTAAATGCAGAACAAACACTAGAACTACACAACTTCAGTGGAACTGGAAAAGTGTAACTTAAGTAAGAAAGTTCTTGGTTGCTAAGTGCAGGGTAGAACCTGGTCCTGCCCTGCTATCTTACACTGAGGTTAATGGGAAATTGTTTTATGTCTACCATGTGTTTGGTTCATACCTACTATGAGGGAAGACTCTAAAGGCTGGCAGAAGATTTTCTCACTATAAAGTGCTAAATATTTAAGTATTTGGAGGGAATCATTATCTAGACAAGAAAGCTATGTGCTAAGGGGCGTGAGAGATCAAGGATCAACTACAAGAAATAAAGGGAATGTACTAAGTCAAAGTATATTTTCTATACGTAAGCTGCAATAATACAGAAGAGCTTCTCAAGTAAAATTTGTTCATTCTATCAGTTTGAACTTGATATCTGTATATCAACTGAGAGAAAATCTAATTGATTTTCAATTGTGTGTCTTTTCTAGCACAGTTATCTGCAATGCTGTTGTTCAGACAAAATTTTATAAGCCCATACTTAGCGTTAAGTACATTCTCAGTAAAGCAGAAATGTAGAGTACTGGAGTACTTCTAACAATAAAACTCCCCAGACCTACTAAACCTATGGCCCATCTTCCTGCCCTAAGTACAAAGTCATTTCAAATCAATAGTTTTCATTTTTTTACTGCCAATGTGGTACAGCTTAAGATAATGATAAACTGCAGGCATGTTTTACTTGAGCACGTATAATGGACATTCCACGGAAAGCTGAAATGGAATAGCTAATAGGCAAACTAGTACAGAATTAGTGAATGACACAGCAGTTAGCACTGTTTTTCCTGTTGCTTGATAGCATTTGCTGAACTCGACAGAAATTACCCTTGTGATCATACTTGTGTACTTAACAAAGGAAATGATGACCAACAGATGCTATAAAACCTCTCCAGACCTTCTGCATTGTTTTTTTGGAACTAGTTTCCTGCAAAATGTCACAATCAGCCTATCCTTTCCTCTGACTAATGCTTTTTATTCTTTGCAAATGGTTTCTTTGAAAGGAGGTAAAAGGCTAATGGGCTGATGGAACTCTCAGAAATCTTACCAGAAACCCCCTCCCAGGATGGGTTGACCAACTTCAGGCCAAAAATCAGAGCAGAAATAGGAAAGTGTTGGTCCACAGGAGGCCTACAATCTACAATTCTTCCTGTAACTACTGAATAACGCTAAAGTGCAGTTTGAACTATTGTCATCTTTTGAAAGCCATGAAAGCAGAAAAACATTTTAAATGAATGACTACAGTTACTGAGTCATAAGAGAAATAGTGTTAAAACTTTTTTTGCACTTCCAACCACCTTTCTCAATTTTTGCAGCAGATAGACAAGATGCATGAATAACAAGCACATCTCATGTCTTGAAAGGAGTATGGAAGTACAACCACTCACTCCTATTTACCTCAGACCAGGAGTGGAAAAGAATGGAGTAAAACTATAGCCAGGCAGTGAAAGGCTAGCATTACTCACATTGTTCTCAATTGCTCTCAGTGAGAAGCTTCAAACCTGCTCAGGTCTGTGTTCCCCAAGAATTGTCTCTGGAAGGGCAACGCTGTTACTAGGTATGTGAAAGTCAGACATTTCCAGCAACACCAAGATCTGGCATTAACTAGTATTAACAAAGTAACCATAGTAATGGTGTTTGCATAAGAGAGGAGAGAAATGGCACTGAGAGGAGGAAGCAGCAGACAAAAATATCTTTTGCAACCTCACAGCCTCTTGTGGAAATCCCCCACCTATGAGGAGCATTCGTATTGAAAAGCTGGCACTCGTTGCCTGTTTACTCAAGCTCACAGGCACTGATGTCATAGGGCAGGCTTTTTTTTTTTATTTCACATTTTAATTCAAGCCAGTGCCAGAAAACACTCATCCATTTGGAAAAACTTTAATGAGTCAGCAGGTATGGGCAGGGTATCCACAGTCTTGTTTTCATGCTGTCAAAGTCTACTGCTCGTTTCAGGGAACGACAAGTGGGAGGATGCACACCGCATGCGCACACGCACGTGCAGCTGCACTGTGGAGGCACACTGCAGCACTGACATTCAGAGAGAGGGAGGAGAGTCAGCATGAAAAGAAACAGCACCATACTAATTTCTTTTCTTTTAATTAACGTTTGTCAAGTTTGGAGAGAAGCCCAGGCTGCAAAATTTGGATGCATAATTCAAAGAGCTCTGAAACTGGAAATGTTCGCACACAGGCTCCTTATTTATGCCTCGTCCTGTTTATAGGTCATGCAGAGACTTCTTAATTGCTCTTACTGTAACACAATTAGTGACAGTTCTTCATTGTATGTCAGCGTGCAGCAGGGCTACACTCTGAAAATGCGTGGCAATGTTTAATAGTAGGTGGACATTTTCTTCCCTGTTCAAGGATTTTTCCCTGAGGCCCCTCTATCTCATCTAGAGCGAAGACTTTCAATGTCAGCAGCAGAAGGAAGTGGTGATACTTTAATCAGATCAGGGAGATGTTTGTAAAAGGAAGTTTTTTCTCAAATTCATGTGAACGACACCTTTCCTGCACAGCTCTCATTGATACAAGTTCAAAGAACTACCTCATGTCTCATTACTGAATTCTTGGCATAGGATTGAATGGCCGCTATTAAACTCTTGCAATGTCAGTATTAAGTCACTAACTCCACAGGAGGTTCGTTCTCTATGTGAGAATGGGATTAGACAAAAATTCCAGCCCTTCCTTTGAATTCTTTCACCAGCACAGCACATACTTCTCAGCAAATCACTTCAGAAGGTAAGGGAACTGGAATAATACATGCATTACCTTCTTGCTTCAGTAAATAAGGCACAACTTTTAAACATACCCAATGGACCATAAACAACACATTTAATATGGTAACAATCACCAAGGCTACTCTAGTTCCTAGAAGGGCTCTTGCATGCCTTGCATTCTAGCCCAGCAATAAGACAGCACAGGATATAACTCATCCTATGGTGAGTTCAGCAGGATTTCATACCACAGAGAGTCTAAGAAGTAAAACACTGCTAATTCTCCTTCTGGAGCTTTGGGGAGTAAGTGCAGGAGAGTAAGCTGGATCCAGATGAGCTCTCCTCAGTCACACACTTCTAAGAGCCAAGTCTCAGCTCTTGCATGAGCCATATGTAAGACTGAACTACTGCAGTCCTCATGGCAAGGACAAAAACCACAGTTCCTCTCACCAGATGCATCAAATCAAACTCCTTGTTCCTCCTCCATCTGCACTACTTACAATCTGTCTGACTTCTAGATGTCATGTAACAGTGACATGGTGCTTCCATGCTAACCAGCATTTCAGAGGATTGAAAACAGTACATGGCCTTAGAAAAGGAGAGCTCTATATAAGAGTTCATTCCTATGAGTAGTGCTTCTGCCCCCAGAATTCTTCAGACGAAGCACAGTGCAGCTTCATGTGTATCCTGCTGTCTCA